AAGAAATATGCTATTCCAAGTTAAATCTAAGATCTGTATCTTCGATTTTAGTTTAGATTGAAATGATCTTTCATTTCATGCTTGGAAATATGGAAATCTACCTGCAGGGATACTGTAGCTGGTAACTCTAATAAAAACAAACAGTTTTTAAAAATCCTACTCTGAGAGATTGTAGGATTTAAGTAATTAAGGATGTGCAGTTTGGTATAAGTGCATTTGTTTCCTAGGAAACAAAGCAGTACTGTGCCACTCAAGAAATTTGTAAGCATGGAAATATTCTATAATCAGGCCCCAGGAGAACTTATTAAATTTTTTTAAACAGAATAAATAGTTGACATCCTAGCCATTTTATAAATGTACTTTTAGATGACAAGTGCTGTCAAGGAGTTGTATTCCTATAGCAAGAGTGAATGATATGAAAGGTAGGCCAGGAGCACATATTGGCTGTTGACATGACTTATTCAAGTAGTAGAATAAAGGCAGGGATCATCTTGAATGACTGAGATAATTCAAACCAGGAGGCCTAAACATTGCAACTATTTTGGGTCAGCTAAAACCCTGGCACAAAGGAATCTCCCAGGAATCTACAAGGAAGACTTCATCTTATAATCCTAGGAATAGCTGATATGAACACACAATGGCCATCACCTGTGACCAGATTAGTGCCTAGCCTGATTGTCATAGGAGAGGCATCATGCAGCAACTGATGGAAATACATGCAGACCCACAGCCCCACATTGAGCAGAGCACCAGGAATTTTGCAGAATATGGGTAGGAATGAGTGTAGGTGATTGTAGGAGCAAGAGGGGTCAGGGACAGCACAATAAAACTCACAGAATCAACTAACCTAGGCTTGTAGGGGCTTACAGAGACTTTACCAATAGCCAAGGAGCCTGCATTGGATTGATCTAGGCTCCCTTTGTGTATTGTGTGGCTTGGTCCTCTTGTAGAATTCCTAGCAGTAGGAACAAGGGCTGTCTCTGGGTCCTACTCCTCATACTGTGTCACCCTGCTCAGTCTTAATACATGGGAGGTGATTAATTTTACTGTAGCTTCATATACATGTTTTGTTGATACTCATGATAGACATAACCGTTCCTAAACACAAACAGAAAAGGAGTGGTTTGGGGGCTGGGTGTGAACAAAGGGAAGGTGGGGGAGGGACTGTAAGGAGAGAAGGGAACTGAACTGAGGCTGGCATGTAAAATAAATAAATAAATTTATTTTAAGAAATGACAACTATAAAACAACACACGACCACACTCACACATACCATCAAATTTAGAAATGACAGAGTAGGAATTTATATAGATTACACTTGAACAGAGAAACCAACAGAAATAAAAATGTGAACAGCCTGAAGCCACTGGACACAGAACATGATGCCGAAGTGTGGGATAAAGGAAAGTTGGGGCTTAAAAATGGAAAGAAGTAAAATTGGGTAATATTTAGAAGCTAGAAAGAATTAGCACTTTAAATTTACTTAAAAAAAAAAAAAGAAAACGACAAAGCAGAAAATAGGAGAATGAAGGCCAATTTTAACTCTCAAGGGATGGCTCAGTGTAATAGTCCTTACACTTCAAGCATGGGAAACAGTTAAAATCCCCAGCACCCATGTAAAACACTGGAAATAAATGTGTGTGCCTATAACCCTGAAAAGTGTTCCAAGACATGTAGCTCATAGAGCTCACTGACCAGCCAGCCCTACCTAGACAAACAAACAAATAACAACCACTACCTATAACACCAGAATCACAAGCTGGTGAGAAATTCTTACGTAAGTCCATAAGGTAGAAAACTCAGAAGAAAATACCTGTGCTAGCATCCACATGTACACAAATGGGAGAATGGAACACACACACATGCACACACGCATGCATGCACACATACACACACACACATACACACACATGAGATCGGATTTAGAAATGAGTAGGAATTTATACAGAGAACACTTGAATCAAAAGAAATACAAATGTGAACACACGGAAGCCATTGAATACAGAACATAACACCAAAGTGTGGATGAAAGTAGGTTTGGGGTTAAAAATTAAAAAGAAATAAAGTTGGGTAATATTTAAAAGCTATAAAGAATTAGTACTTACCATACTTGGAAAACCTTTCTATTTATATATGATGAAGAGTTTTATAAGAGTCTGTTCAAATAATGAGGTAAACTGATTTGTCTTTGACACCCAGGTAATAGGTATGTTTAATTAGTGGATAGAGTTACAAACAGTATAAAAATAGGGATTTAACACAGCCTGGATGGAGGACCTGTGAGTCTGCTGCTTCCTGGGATCATTGGCAAATGGGATACAAAAATGGTTTGGGAAGACTTTTAAGTCCTGAGAGTTACTTTGTTGGTGATATTTATACCTTCAGGAACTCCCTGTGATCATACGCATAAGAAAATAAGAATCTTAGCTGGAAGTAATGTTTGCTTTATCTTTAATAATAATGTGTGGTCACAAACACAGAGAGTCACACATGCTCTTCATTAAGAAAAGGAAATGTTCAGAGGTCACTGTCAGTATTGCCTCTACAACATACAGATGGAAAAGAGCATGGAGTATGTGCCAAACATAGTATTTTAAATCTGGGGCTAGAGCTAGAATTGGGGTTTATTTTCATTTAGGAAAGTAGGAAAATTCTGCTTTACAGTTTTGTGCTGTTGAGAAGTCCTTGCAGAGTTGACCTATATATTACATTAGCATGAGTCTGAATATGAAGCCATAAGTACTTGCTTTATTCGTCAAGATAATATGTATGATGACAGTTATATTTATAAGTATGAAGTGAGATAAACAGGAAGGTGTAAGAGATTTTTAAAGAGAGATACACGGGGGGAGGGATACTTTATCTGTTAACATACAATGGGAAGTTTTGTTAGATACTCTGGTCCTATACTACCTAGCTTCTGAAATATATCAAATATACAAGTGAAGGCAAAGTCCTCCAGAGTCATAAAATTTAAAGTCATAATTATAATAACAATACTTCAGTATGTATTAACACTGTACTAACTACACCTAGAGTTAATTCACTCGGTTAGTAAAATATTTAAAGTTTGCAGTTCTGTATTTAACACATTCTTCTTTGGAAGATTACATGCCACATGCTATATAAGTAAAATAGAGTTTTCTGATTAAGTACATTAATATAAAAAATCAATTGTTAAAAATTCAACCATTTCTATTTATTTTTAAACTTGCCACTAGAAAATTTGAAATGATTCACACTTATCATTTGCGAATTACACAATATTTCAATTAAATAAGTTGGACCAAACTTCCTTTGACTGGAACTCAGTTTGTATGATACTGTGTTCATTCCATCAGAAATCAAGAGTGGTGAAGGGAGGAGAGTAGAACAGAGAAATGGAAGGGAGAGAAAAAGGGAGGGGAAGGACGGGAGGGGAAAGGAAGAGAGAGAGAAGAGAGGGTAAGGAAGGAAAGGAGTATGTTTTTTTTTTTTTTCCCTCAAATACACATCTAAATCCAAGCAACATAACAGTTCTTGTGTAATCTTGACATTTTGTTGAATTTTTATAAGCTTTGGGTTTTAGGGCTGACTAGAAATAAAGAAGAACTAAGTCTAAAGTTAAAAGAAACAAACTCAGTACAGCTCTAGTTTTCAAATGAGAATAATGTGATTTTATTTTTATTTTATTTTACTTTTGTTTCTAGAACTGGAAAAGAGAAAACTGAACTGTTTGTGTCTGTCTCTGGCAACTAGTTTCAGCAAACCCATAATATTTGTGTTTTTCAACTTTAGTTAGCTCAAAAGGTAATATGACTAAAAATTTAGTAAGTTTATGTATTTGTTTGCATTTACAAAATATTCAGATATTAATTATTGTGTTTTTATGGAAAAAATACTTAAAATAGCAAAACATTCAATCAGGAATCCTTTGTATTTATTGGGACATAGAATGATAAAAATACTAGTGAAATCAATCAAAACTGGTCTCTTAATGACAATAATATACTTGGAATCATTTAAAGAATAGCCACTATATGTTTAATTATATTTTAACACAATTAAAATGGCTATTGTTTAATTTTTAAAACATCCTCAGGGACTGGAAGGATACCTGGGCAGTTAAGAAAGCTTACTGCTCTTCCCGTGGATGTGGCTTGATTCAAAGAACCTCTATCTAGTGATTCACAACTACGTGGAGCTCCAGATCATACTGATCTCTTATCCACACACATTACATAAATACATGTGGGCTCATATGCACATAAGAACAAAATTTAAAAACTAAATACACATCATTTTTTAAATTTTTTTTTCTTATTTTACATATCAATCCCAGTTCCCTCTTTCTCACTCCCTTCCTCCTTTTCTCCCCCCCTCCCTTGTCCCCCACTCACTCTGAATATATATCTGAAAAGTTCCTTTTCCTACCATGACAAGTCCCCCCCCCCCCGTTTAAGGAAATTATTGCTGTTTATACAACCACATTTAGGCTTCTTTTCCTGCCTAAAATTAAAGCTATTTTTCCAATGAATATGATTTTTAAATCCATGTAAGTAATGGAGTTTATTTGGTCAGAAATAACTTGTTCTAACTATCCAAAGATTAACTATACCCTTCAATGTTTAATGTGGTGACAAATGTTTCTTTCCAATATATTGATAGATTGCTTTCTTTTCCTCTATTTGTAAAAGGAGTTAACTTAGCTAACATAAGTTCCATGTGATTTCCAATTTGGGGCTTCTAGGAAAAATAAAACTGAAATAAAGTGACCTGTACTTCCAAACAAATGGCAAAATGGCTTTCAGTAGAAGAATCTTTAGATATTGAACACTTTGAGTAGAATATCCATGGTTGGTGATTACCCAGGAGTAACAATAAGTAATATAAAACTAAATCTACTACTAATATCTTCAGTGTCCAATGATCCTTTCAACACTGTCATCTGAGATAATCAATGTTGAGATGCATCATGCAACTAAATTGTTAATGTTTCATAATGTAAGAATGTTCTGCTTATACTAACCTGGTAGGAGAGGTACCATGATCACAAATATGGTTTTCCCAGGATGAGGCTTATCCATTGCACTCTGGATGTACCGAACCCTGCATTTTCCCCAAATGCGGGAAACTTGACTGCATAATTAGTGGTAGTGGGGTACTGCATTTGCACTCTCCTTTGTGTGTGTGTGGGAATTCTCTGCTTGTGAAGTCATTATCTTATATTAAAAAATCTCATATATTAGTCTGAAAATGAAGTATATACCAATGTGGACTCTTATCCAGACACACAGGGCTACCCAGACTTCTACAACATTACTGTTCATCATTTTACACATACACAAGACCTTCATATGCATATATGTATATGAAAAGCAGAGAAAAATATTGATGGGTTAACTGTCTTAAAGTATTAAGATGTAATTGTTAAATATTATGTAAATTTTCTCACTTCTGCTACAGCCTCATTGCTGTACTCATCAAGTCTCTACATATTCCTTCAGAAGCGGCTACTTTCTAACCTGTTCAAATTCATCTTCCACAGATGTCTATAGCTATTAAGCAAAAGTATGTTTCTAGAATGTGTGGCCATTTCCTCATCTGGGTATTGTCTTAATAATTGTGCACTGTAAGAAGACATATGTTTCCCACCTACCAGTTCTCAAATTATCACACATATGTTTAAATTACTTGTAAATGCTTGACCAATTGCTCAGGTTTGTTACTAAATGGCTGTTACATTTTAAGCTAACCCATATTCTTTATTTATGCTCTGCCATGTGGCCATACTTTTATTAGCATGGCACTTTCATCTCTTGCTTCCCTGTGTCTGCCATTGACTCCTTTGACTCTACCCTTCCTCATCCCATCATTGTCATTTTGGCTCACCTAACTATATCCTGTTAAGCTACTGGCCAGTCAGCTTGTTTATTAAAGTAATAACAGTGATATATACTCACACAGTGTAAAGGAATATCGCACAGCAGTGAACCTCTCTAAAATACTCTGCATAGAACACTTCTGTCCTCATTTACTGTAAATATCCTCTCTTCAAGTAAAATTCTTTCTGGACCAATCAGCACAGCATTATTTCTGTGATTACTCTTTCTTGTCATTTGTGTTTTATCTTGCTTCATACCATTAGTATCTGATAATGTTAATGTTGATTTGCTTGTTTTTTAATTATCTGCATTCCTTCACTAAAATAGCCGTTCCATGCAGGAAGTTGAGTTACTTTAACAACCACATCTATTTTAGTTTCAAAAGTGTATTGGATATTGTTGATGCTTTGATGGTTAAGTTCTCTCTAAATCTGCTGTGGGAACTTGAGAGCTAGCAAATAAGATTTATTTTTCCTTTTCCTGTTATTATTCATATCTCTTTTCCTCCTTTTTTGCCATTTCAATTATCTGGTAACAATTTTATACTATTTAATAATTTCTAATACAGTGATATATTAAGATAACTAGTTTAGAGTTGATTACATAGAGATTAGAGATAGATATATAGATTTGTATAGATACATCTTCTTGCCCACTGGGAATATGCTCCAATATTCCAGTGGGTGCAAGAAACTGAGGATATTAAAGAACTTGGATGTGTGATTGGTTTTCTTTTTTAAAAAGATATTTTATTTTTGTTTTTGTGTATGTGTTTGTATGAGTATATGCCACAACTGTGTGATTACCACAAGGGCCATTATAGGGCACTGAATCCTTTAGATCTGGAGTTGCAGCTGATTGTAAGTCATTAGACAAAAGCTAGAAGCCAAACATGTGCCCCCTGGAAAAGCAACAAGAACTTGTATCCACTGAACTATCTCCTGAACACTATGCATACTATTTTCCCAAAAATACTTTGTTTAAAAATTATTCACAGAAAAAATCAGCAATTAATAATAAAGTAGAAAATTTATAACATAATTTAATGTGAGTTATCTCCTCTCTTTTTCTTTCCCTCAATAAACTTTACTGTAGTCTGCCTACCTTTTCATGGTGTGTGAAAATACACTGCCTACATAGATGCACAGAATTTAAGCCAAGTTAATGATTTAGGCATTATAACATAGTATTAGGCTGTGTTACAGTATCATAAGCATTGTGATATTTCCAGAATCAAGTTGATAACCAAGAATGCTAAGTAGTGACAGGTAATAAAGTGACAGATATATATCAGAATAATGAATGATTCACACTTCTGGCAGAATGGATACCTGCAAAAATATGGTTTCTCAGCCTATGCATAATGAATATGGAGACTATAATATGTAGTATACAAAAAGGATTTCAAATTTAGAAATTTTACTTCTGGAATTTTCCATTTAATATTTTCTGACCATATTTAAACATGGACACCTAAATCAGAATATATTAAAATCATAAAGAAAACTACAAAAGATGTCTTGATGTCCCTCAAACACAGTGCCCCCCAACAGTATCCATGTTGCCCTGACATTACAAATGTGTTAGTGACTTAATATATGAAAAGAAAGCACTGTTTATACAGCAGTTTTGTAGGGTCCCTGTGCCCAGAGCAATTGGCTGAGGTGGTTGAGTAGTTGATTTCATTGAAACAAACAAAACAAAATCATATGAACTTTTGACATTTAAAAAGATAGTGCCATAGTGTATGATTAAGGGCTTTGCTTCATTGTGGGTGGGCAGTGTACTGTAGAAACATTGCATTGGCATTACCAGAATATATACTACAATACAAAACCATGTTGGCAAGGAGAGAGTAAATACCTGCCCTGTAAGAGATTTTATGAGTGTTTCCTCAATACCATTATAAATGATACTTTCAGAGAACAATATTAAAGCAAACTTGTGATATGAAGAGTCACAAAGGAAATGGATAACAATTGCACAAGAAAATGCTTAGGCCAAAATGGAAAAAGGAGAGTAGAAATAAAATGGAAAAGAATATTCTGGGCCACATACATTGGTAAAAAGTTGAGAGAGATGCAGGAAAATGATTGGAGTTATGGTTGCTTTCTGAAATGATGCAATGCATAAAGAACACATCCTGATGAGGATGTGATTTATATGTGCACATTTCATCTTTTTCCTGGTTGTCTTTTGATCCTTTTCTTTTTATAAATGAAATTAATTATCTAATCTGTAAATAATGTTTTGTGCCTTTGGCTATTTTTCGTGATGATGAGTTATTTTTAAGTGAGCATGCTAAGATTTTAGAACAACTATTTAAGGGTAAAAGTTCAAACCAACTTTCTCTGGGGAACAAATTTGAGATTTTGAGATTTGACCATTTGATGATTCATGGGGAAAGACCTCTTCCACTAATGTTTAAGATTTGATTCCTTAATGTTATCTGACAATCTACTAGTAAAAATAAATGTATTTAACTGCTCTCTTGCACCTTCTGCATGCCAAATAGCCATGATAACAAAGATATTTTAAAAAGAAAACCAAACACCACAGGGAATTATTGTAAAGGAACAAAATGCTCTTGGGATCATGGGAAGCAAAATAATCGAAACCCCAAAGTTTACACTTACATTCTTATTTCAGACTTTAATACTGTTTTATGCATGGTTATTAAATTTTAAAAAGCACAGAGGAAATCTATACCAAGTATTTTTTTAACCTTTAATAAGTATATTATCTACTTGGATTATTAATTGGCTGAGAATCTAATTCATTTTCATGAAGACTAACAATAACAATGCCATTGGTAGTCATGTCTAGGCTTATAGTTTAGAATGGTGACTTGTATTTTTAAATGGTGCCACTTAAAAGTTTTAGAGAATCAACTTTGACAATTTTATTTAAAGGATTTAAATATATATACATATGTATATATGTATATATGTATATATATATATATATATATATATATATATATATATTCTGATAGCCACAATGTACAAATTTCAAAGCATAGCTTAACTGCTGTATAATGATAATTGCACCAGAGGAGAGGATTTAGGGAGCAATCCAGCTTGCATGGTAAGTAGAGACAAAACAATAATACCACTGGGAAAAACGTAGAAGTTATGAAATTTCCTGATGTGTGACACATATGTGAGACTATGAAGTGAACTACCACAATATATGTGGCATAAGAATGTTTTGTGGTATAACATATTAAACATGTTTCCTCTCAGAAGTGAATCAGTAAACGATTGTGCACAGAGAACTGGCTTTCAGAAAACCCACATGATGGTTTTGTAGTTTCTAAATTAACTTTAAAATTTTAATTCCAGTGCCAGGGGAAGAACATCATATTTCACAGCATTGTTAATGCAATGCAGTCCTAGACTACCACAATCTTTCCAAGAAACCCTTGGCTCTTTGTAAATAAGTATTTCAAAATTATGATAAGCAAAACATTTTTGAGATTTCTTCTTATTGGAAATGTAGATATTGCTATTTTCCCAATTCATATACTTCAAAACACATTTGAGAAAAATTATTGAAATATAGAAATTACAGTTTGTTTGATGCTTTATTTCAAAACACTGTGTATTTTGTGTTTATTTGTCTTTTTAATTTAAAATACCATGTCTTCAGAGAAAAAAATGTTTGTACCTTCTAAATCAAAACTTTGTATTACCTTACAGGAAAAACAAATCTTATAATAGAGGAGAAGTAAGGTTGAGTAGCAAATAAATTAGATTCAGACTTGAGATAACAGAAATAGCTGCAATCAGATGATATGTTTTATTATTACAGATGGAGATAATGGTGAGAAAAGTGTGGGAGAATGTTGAAGGCTTATTTTAAGACAAATGCACATGCCTTATTGTCATATATGTAATTTTAAAGAATTCGTTTCCCATAATTTATTTTCTAATAATTAAAAAAATCAACCTTTATCATCACAGATCATTATTATATTTTTCAATACATATTATTGACAGTGTCATTTTCTGTGTAAAAGAGAGAAATAAAATCAAATACAAATACTTTCTAACTTGAAGAAAAAATACCTACAAAAAGTAATGTATACTATAGAAAAACCATATTTTTTAAAAAAAAATGTTATACTTACATCAAAATAATTAGTAACAGATTTTAGAACCAAAAAATTGAAACACAAAATTAATAAGTATATATGTTCCCTAGGCTCTGAGAAATTAGATTGCAAAGTATTTTAGGAAGAAAGAACATTGTAAACTGAAAATAGGTTGGAATAAGTTGTGAAGCAGAAGAAAGAA